CCTTATCCACGACCATTTTCTGTCATATCCTATAAAAACGTTACGGCGATCTGCCAAATTGGTGAGTCGGGTATCAGCTTCCTCCTTCCCAATTCATGGCATCACTATCACCGTTTCAGACGCTACTTCCCCGAACTTGTTCATCCACTTCACTTTCAGCGCCTGCATCATCAGGTTCTTCTTCTCTTTCACTATTTTCAGGCTCAAAGGGCACATCATGGAGTGTGATTCCCACTAAGAACAAACGGAACACACCTTCCACGGTGGTTGCTGCCGTCGGAGATCTCTCTTCCGATAGCACCACCTACCTCATCGCAGGCGCTATCGGTGTGGCCCTCGTTGGAACTGCCTTTCCCATCTTCTTCTCTCGCAAGGACACGTAATTCCCATTTCCTTATTCAAGTTTCTTGCATTTTGATTCAGACATCAACGGGGTTCTTGCTAGGTTTACAATATACATATATATATATATATATATGCACAAAACAAGTGGAAGATTATCTAGTGACTGTTGGTGTGATATTTTCAGATGCCCTGAATGTGACGGAGCAGGGTTTGTTCGTAAGGCAGGGGCGACTTTGAGAGCAAATGCGGCAAGAAAGGACCAAGCTCAAATCGTTTGTGCACGCTGCAATGGTCTTGGAAAACTTAACCAAATTGACAAATAGAGAAAACCTCTTGCTCGTGTAGTTATGCAAGCTTCTCTAAACTTTTTTCTTTTTGGCACTTGAAGCTTTTCTGTTTGTAACAATCCCTGATGAATATAATAGTTCTTTTTTCAACTCTTGCTGTCTTGGATTAAAGTATTTTTTCGAATACTTGTTCGCACCTGATGCTTATCTGTTTTGTAACAATGTCTTGTGCCTGAGGAATGTGATTGTTGTTCTCGACTTTCTCTGTTTTGGTATGAATAGAAGTTAAAGAAGGATATTGTTTTATATACTTCTTTGCATTTGAGGCCTATGTACTCGTAAAATTCCTGATGAATGTAATAGTTTTGTTCCCAGTAACTCTGTCTGAGTAGAAGGTTAAGAATTTCCAAGGGAGTGGATCCAATGATTTAATTTGTTCCTTTTGGGGAATACTTAGGATTAAAATCTTAATTGACATAGGCAGATAAAATTTCTAAAATAATGATTTATGGACAAAACTTGGAGGCACCTTGAGCATAGTATAAATATCAACGGAAAACTAAAGATAGCGTCGAGCCTGTTGTTCTAATGCTAACTGTTAGAAACTCATTTTGTTGGTCAGGGAGAAAGAAAATTTCTAAGGATTTGACTGTTTACTTTGCTAGCTATATGCTGTCTGCAACTACAATTCCAGCTAGTTCAAAGGGGCACAACCTTCTAGCAGAACAATGTTAAAAGGGATAAATATTCAAGTCCCTCAATTTCTTCGGATAAGTCCAGACTTTAGCTTAAATATTTTGAAGTGAAAGCACATAAAGCCATTTTGTTTACTTCATGCTGACCACCTTCTCTAACATCTAATTCTGTTTTCAGAAGCTAAACTGATATAAAAGGTTGTTAGGTCAGAAGTTTTTCCTTCTGATCTTTGTGAGGAAGCATGAGCTTGTTAAGCTTTATGTGTGGTTCCTGCCAATATCATATGTAATGCTTTCGCACGCTATCAATTCTCTTCCACACAAACTTTAGTGTTTCCAAACATTGCACAGATTAGACAGAAAACAATAGCAAGAGAGGGGAAAGAAAAGAAAGGGAATCAAATGCACATTAGCATTCCTAAAATGCAAGGCTCAATCCCTTGTGCACTTACTAATCTTAGAGAATTGTTGACTTGTATAATAAATCAATTAATTCTGGATTGTTATAGTTTTCAGATTATTAGTGAGTGCTAGATCTAATTGGTTTGACTCTAGCCTTTTACTGGGCTTTGGCAGATGTGTCGGCTCACCTAACACTTTGGATATAAAATAACACGCATTCAAACTCCATCGACATCATGACTTGTCAATTTTTTCTTTCCCCCATGTTCACTGAAAGCGATTATAGCAAATAAAGAATCAGTTGTAGTTTAGGGGAAGGCAGCCTTGGAAAACGGTCTTCGCCTCTTCAAGTCTTCCTGAAAAGTGCAGGTAAAAGTTAAACTGTTGTTCTCCATATGGGAGTACCACTTTTGCCACTGCATTGAATTTGTGAAAGTAATTTGGCTGGTGATTGTTGTTTTCTTAAAAGTTGAGATGCTCTGTGCCACCTTTTTTGTTGGCTCAAATGCAGCAATTACAACAATAGTTGTTTTCTTAAACGTTCTTAACTCATTTTCATTTAGAAATCATAGTGAAAAGTGTATTTCACATATTGAAAACATAGTATGAGAGGTAAGAAATTATGATGCTCTTTGCATTGAAAAGCTGAATTATGTTACTGAAAGTAGCAGATGAGGAAAGAGCAAGTTTTGGAATATGGTTCAACAAGAGATGGGTCCATCCACGAAGGAGTGTCCATAAGCAAACACAACACAGCATGTGCAGCATATATAAGGCTCCACGTGTCCTTCTATTTAATCATTCACTGCCTTCTTCCCTAGGCTTTTGACTTTTCCATTTAACACATGCATGCACGCCCGCCTGTTGTCCCTCTAACTTCGTATTAATTAACTCCGGAAACAAGTGGTTATTCGTTCCAGATTTAATGTTATTCAAGTTGGTCTCTTTTAGTACTTGAGTCACCAACATTATTTTAAACTGGATACCAGGTAGGTCGCTTCTATATATGTTGTTTTTTTATACTCCATATTATCGGCCTCAAATGCCGCCCAACTGTCCGTAATACATGTATAGTATTGAAGGAATCATTTTGTGTTAAACAAATACTACTTTCGGTCATTAATATAAGATCATGTTTGACTTTTATTTTGGTCCTATATATAATACCTCAATCCACTTTATTTCTCATGTTTATATTTTTTTTTTCCAAAATAACCCTTCTAACAATGATAATTCTAGTCAATATACTTGATTAACAAGGATATTTTAGGAAAGACAACACTTATTTAAGACAAATAACTAACTCAACTTACTTCTTTAATCTCCTCAAATTAGTCAACCGACTCTTATTATTAGGACCGGAGGTAGTAATTAGGGATATATATGTAACATCATAGTATCGTGTTACTTCTTTAAATTACACTGCACACTTCAGTCTTCAAGTTTTGTTTGAAGATTGCATTGTTACATCTCAAGTATATAACGCGTCATGGTTCAAGTTAAATATGAATATTAGAAAATTTCTTATATCTAGTCTTACTATTCACATGATCATACATTTACTCTCAGAGACACATTTTTTGTATTTTATATTACAGAGTTATGTGCAAAAATATCATGCTTGGCTGCCTATGTATGCATAATACTTGGAATAAGCTAATTTTTCAATTATATCCATGTGAGAGGAAAATATATAAAAAGTCAAAACTTATATATGCTTTGTTATATATAGAATATTAAATATACAAATCAAAATATAGAGATGAAAAATAACCTTCACGTTTTTATTCAATAATAATATGTAACTTCATTTAAGTAATATCATAAATATGACATATGATGGCAAAAAAAATCATAAATATGATAAACATTGTGTGTAATTGAATTATGCATGATTTTCTCTTCCAATCCACTCCCTCTTCTCCTCCCTACCAAACACAACCAAAGCTAGGTAGTTTTGGTAATCATAATCAATACAAGAGTTTTGAAATGTCGATGTCATATATATAAATAAAGGCAATGACTCTCCTAATAAATAATGATCTTACCAGCTAATTTACATCTTGAGGCGTAGGTTTCTTATATTCATATAATTTAAGAAGAGAATATGGATTAACTGCTTCATCCGATTAAGAAAAGCATCACGTGCTTTGCCTTTTAATTAGTGAAAAAGTGAAAACTTGGTGAGATGTACAACTAACAAAAGCTGCTCACAAAGCCAAAGCCATGCTTTTATCCCAAGTCTGTCATCATTATATGCTCTCTTCCTATTATTCCCTCGCCTTCATCTGCAAATTACGCTACGTTATATAATTAACCACGTAACCCACTTGTATCTGAAAACTATTATTATATTATTCAAGAAGACAACAAGCGAGTCTTAATTCCAGATATCTAGCTTTCTGTTCAAATTCAATCTTCTCTTATACTCAGTTCTTTCTTTCTTTCTTTCTTTCTTTTTTTAATTATAAAGGCAATTAGCAACAATTTAAGATTATAAACAGGATCGAACTTATAACTCCTTGGTTAGAAGAAGCTTTAATGTCATTATGCCACAATGATATTGGCTTTTCTCTTATATATATGTAGTTTCAAAAGTCGTACAAACAGATTATTTAGGATTTTATATATCTAATTCATTAATGAGGTGAGATTTGGAGCGTAAGTAATTAATCATTAATTACAGCTGATAACTTGTTGCATAGCCCTCCACATAAGTTCATAATTATCAAACCGAATGCTTCAATTCCTATAGCTTGTGAATTAAGTTGTTTTACACATGTTAGGTACGATTAACTTGATCCATCTACATGTATTTTAAACAAATTACCCCGTAAACAAGATTAGGAAGTGTTTGGATGGAATCAAAATCATGATTTTAAAAGTATTTTTACGGTGTACAAAGTAAATATGGGGAGGAATTTGTCTCGTTTTGTTGAAAAGTGTTTTTGAAAAGCACTTTTGGGTACTTCCAAACACCCCATAAAAGTCTAAGGGAGTATTTGGATAAAAATCAAATTATGATTTTAAAAATAATTTTACATATACAAAAACAAAATATGTGAAAAAATTTATCTCGATATAAAAAAATATTTTTAAAAAGTATTTTTAGCGATAATCAAGCACTCCGAACAGAAATACCTTCTTACATACACAGCAAATAAAAGAAGTTATGCTTGTTAGGTACAGTACCAAGTACAGCGACTGTTTGAGGTAATGGCATAGTACCCTCATTAGACATTGGTAGATCGCATCTCAGTGTTTCAGATCTTATCATCATCATGCAGAGATAGAGAGGAGAGGGGGGGGGGGGGGGATCAGTTTCTTAGCTCAGACAGCAAGGAATTCCCATTTCCTTCAGATTCTTATCTTTGTCCCCAAAATATCATGCACTTTCTGCATCATTACTCCAAATCTCTTTTACTCCACTTCTCACTGCAAAACCCTAAGTCCTTAACCCCATCCTATATATCCTCAATAATAATCCATTATTAATTCCCCATCCACCCAAACCAAACTCGTTCTGTTGACATTTATTTACAACAACACAATGAAACTCCAGTTTCTCTTTGCGTTTTTCCCAGACCCCTGTCTCAAATCTCTCGTTTTGCTCATTTTAGTTCATGTCAATCTCTGTTTTTCTGAGACTCAAATGCTTCTTCTGTCGCTCAAAACCCAGGTGATTCCTTCTGGGTACCTCCCAAGACCCCCTGATAAGCTTCGTTTTCACCATAACGTTAGTCTCTCAGTTTCTCTTTCGGCGGGTTCTCCTCCGCAGAATGTCTCCATGGTCATTGACACTGGGAGTGAGCTCTCATGGCTACGTTGTAACAGAACTTCACCCGCCGCGTTTGACCCGACCCGTTCTTCTTCGTACATACCCATTTCTTGCTCCTCACCCACCTGCACAACCCAGACCCGAGACTTCCCCATCCCAGCTTCCTGCGATTCTAACAATCTCTGCCACGCCACTCTCTCCTACGCCGACTCCTCGTCGACGGAGGGCAACCTCGCTTCGGACACTTTCCGGGTCGGTACAGCCAATGACCCGGGAGTTGTATTCGGGTGCATGAATTCGAGCTACGACAGCAGCAACTCGGATAGAGAATCTAACACAACCGGGTTATTGGGTATGAACCGCGGGTCGCTCTCGTTCGTTTCGCAGTTAAAATTCCCGAAATTTTCTTACTGCATATCAGATTCGGATTCCTCAGGAGTGCTACTGTTCGGGGACACCAATTTCTCGTGGCTCGCCCCGCTAAATTACACCCCCTTGGTTCAAATGTCCACCCCGTTACCATACTTCGATCGGGCAGCTTACACGGTTCGGCTCCGAGGAATCAAAGTGTCGGGTGAGCTCCTGCAAATACCAGACACTGTTTTCATTCCTGACCACACCGGGGCAGGTCAAACCATGGTTGACTCGGGCACCCAGTTCACATTCCTTTTGGGTCCGGCTTACACAGCACTGCGGAGCGAGTTCGTAAACCAAACAAACAACACATTGCGGGTCGTGGATGACCCGAATTACACATTCCAGATAGCGATGGATCTCTGCTACCGGGTCCCGATGAACCAAACCAAATTACCCGGGTTGCCGACCGTGAGTTTGGTTTTTGATGGGGCGGAAATGATGATTTCGGATAAGCAGCTGTTATATCGGGTTCCGGATCAAGTAATGGGCGGTGATTCGGTGTACTGCTTCACGTTCGGGAATTCGGATCTTCTAGGGGTAGAGGCTTTCATCATTGGTCATCAGCAACAGCAGAATCTGTGGATGGAGTTTGATCTAGAGAAGTCGAGGATTGGATTGGCCCATGTAAGTTGTAGCTCAGCGGGACAGAGGCTTGGTTTGGGAAAATAGGCCCAGTGTGGGCCCAAAATAGGCGGTCCTTCTTTGGTCGCATTTGGAGGAATGGCTCATGGGTGGTCCCACTTTCAGGAGTGGGGCAATTATGGGATTGGACTGAAGCAGTAGGTGAGTGGTCAGAATTTGGCAGACGGCATTTGATGTGGACGACGGATTCTTTGGGTATTTTTTCTTAGCTTATTAAATTTGCGACCCACTTTGAAGATGGGATTGAAAATTGAAATTGAATACAGTAGTTAGTTTAGTAGCTGAGTGAAATAAAATGATACTGAGTTTTTTGTTGGTATACAAATTGGCATTAAAAAGGTGTTTGGATGAGTCCATAAGTGGTTTTTAGAAGCACTTTTTCACGAATCGAGATAAATTTCTCCACATACTTACTTCGTAGACCGTAAAATCACTTACGAAACTATGATTTTGTTTCTATCCAAATGCTCTCTAAGTTTGACTTGTTTGTATTTGTAGTATGCAAGTCATTTGTAGTTAATGAGAAGAAACAGAGCTGGCAAAAAAAAAACAGAGAGAGAAGAACAGTGAAGATATTATATACTACCTCCAGTTGTAATTGCAAGAACTTGTTCATAGTTTATAAACAAAGTTTTATAAATAGAATAAAGGATAGTATATAACAAATCAACAAACTCTCACTATAGCTTGGTCGTTCGGTTAACTTGGCTTTCTACTGCCCCGGTCAACAAAGACAGGCCTGTGCACGTTCTACGGATGAACATATGGGTATTGATATATGTTGACATTTGTTACCTCTTTTCTCCTCCTCTGGTTTTAAGGGTATCACATCAAAAACTAGCAGATGCTTGGATCAATTGATTGTACTGTATCAGCTGAGCCAAAAGTCCTGATTGTATTGTATCGGTTTAACCCAAAATCCTAAGTTTTGAGTCCTACGATGCAACCATCTTAAATGTTCAGTTAAAAAGTTTTAGCAGAAACAACTAGTAACTCATATCAAGAAAACAATATTTGAATTATTAGAACAGATATTTATATTTAGAACCAACAATATCTCAAACCGGATTACTTTCCGTAAAAGAATACTTATACCTTAAAAAAGAAAAAAAACTGAACCCTTTAAATTTTCTAATTGAAGTAAGGCGCCTTTTGTAGTGTTACTCAACTCAATCTAGAGTAATCTAAACCCAATTAAGTCTTACTTATTAAAGCATAGTGGACTCAATAGTGATTGATTTTTTTTCCAAAAAATCTTTGTAGCACTGGGATAAACTAATACTTTTTCGGTTTTTAATATAAGATCTATTTGCTAACTTTATTTTGGTTCTAAATGTAAGACTTAGTACTCATATTTATCAATTTTTTAAAAAAATTATTCCTCTTGATACTCCTCAATCATAATCAAGTAGAAGAAGGGGTAGGGTATTAAAAAAGATAATTGTGGTATTTTAAGAAAAAAACATGTCAAATTTCTTATCATTAACTAAACTAAGTTATCCCGTATTTTTAATTTAATCAAATTAATTAAATAGATTTTATATTAAAAATTAGAGAAGTATCACAAACAGTGAGTTATTAGCATTCGAGGGCCCCAGGATTGTACATGCTTCTCCAAAACACTTCGAGCTTAGTAGTTAAATCCAATTAAGAACTGGCTTCACCCTTCTGAAATTATGTACAAGCCCATTAGCCGTTTTTTTTCAGGAAATTTAAAAAGCAATCCATTTTGGATGCGAAAAGTTGGGAGTCTCGCCAGCTCCCCTCCCTTGCATGATAGTTATTCTTCTGGTTTTATCTATAAGATATTTTTAACATGTTTGATATAGATAAAAAAATATCTTAAATTTTATTAATTTTTATTTATAATTCAATAAATTTTTAACTTTATTTTTATTTAATATATATTATATTTTACACAAAAAAAGTTAATACAATTATAAATAAAGTGTAAAATTATATATCTACGTAAAAAATTTTCTCACTATTTTATAAATAAGATTAAAAAATAATTTTTTCATGTTATAAATAGGATCAGAAAAGCAGTCGGTAAGAAAACGTACGCGCGTCTAACGAGCATCGTCCTTCACGGACGTGCGCTCAGGCCCTCGTAGGCTTGGGCGCTCTCTATCATTGACTGATCATTGACTTGAGAGTTGATCACTCAGCGCCACTTCATTGTAGACAGGTAGTGAATTATGTTGTCTCAAGCTGTGGACTCACATCAGGTCAAAAAAATTAAAAAAAGAAGCTGTGGAGTCACTTGTAAGTTGTAACCTTTTTAAGTTATTGGATCAGTTCTCATGCATTTACAATATATAATATTCTTTTTAGATATAAAACTCATGTTATAATTTAAATTTATTACAACATGAGTTTTATATTTAGGACAGGAAAAATATTAATAATAAGTTTAACACATCACTGTAATTGATATATAGATTTTTTTTTTCTTAGAACGGTTTTTATAGATTGTAAACGTAAAAAAAAAAATCTATTTTCTTTTTCTAATTCCAGTCATCTTTTTTAGTTAAAAACTAAATCTAAATAACTAAATTAATTAGTTTTAGTTATATATTAATATTAATTTAATCAATTAATTCTATATTCATTCTATATTCTATAATATACAAATTTAGATTCGAATAAAATATAGAGATATAATAGATTCAGAAAATGTCCCCATTAAAACTTTTTATTGATGAGAATGATGATCTACATAAATATTGGGTTAAGGGTCATTTTAGCCTTGAAAGTATTTGGGAAGTAGTTATGTGCATTCAAAAAAAATTTGGTTCAATATATATTATTGGAGATGCTAAAAACGACTAATGTTGCCACTAATATTAACTATCCACATTAATTTTTCAATTATTTATGTCATAAAAAAGCGTGACGTTCATCCTTTTCTTTTTAAAATACTTTCAGAGCAATTTTAAGCCCAAAAAAATTCTGGATATCTATAATTCCTTCAAAAATACTTTCAGATAAAAATAACCTTTGACCAAATTTTTACACATATAAAATATCAATACGTTGCAAATTTTATACAAATATAGTACCGGCACTTTAGTTTAGATCCTTCTCATAGTGAAATTTTCAGTTTTCCTTAAATTTTATGTAATTTTTTATGAAATTAAGAATATAAAGGTATATATTCCTTATTTAAATTAAACAAAACAAAATTAAACACGTGACAGATTGTGGTAATGGATCTCTAACAACCCTTAGTCCCTGTCCATATGAATCGTGAAGCTGAAATTGATGACAAATTGAGTTTGCGTTCTTTCAAAAAGCTGAATATTGGAAGCTTTAAAAATATCTTTTCAAAGTATGCACCCTACTTATGATTTTTAATTTTTTATCCTTTTTTTAATCTTATTTATAAACTTTAAATTTAAGAATGGATGTTGTTCATTTTATAAACTTCTTCAATAAAGTATTTTTCTTAAAATTTAATATATATTCTTATAATTTTACTTCTAATTATTTATTCTCTCTTTTTTATCATAATTTTTCTTATCATATTTCATCACACATTCTCTTTTATTTTTTTCTCATTTATTATAAGGTTATATCTGAAAACAAAAATATATTTCTAATATATTATTACTTTTAACTTGTTTTAAATAATTATTTATTATTCATAAGTTATTTATTCAAAACTCATAATAAAAATCGAAATGAGAATTTAGTATGTAAAGATCAAATAATCCCTAGATGGTGAGAATGTGAAATTCAATCCATTTTGAAGGCTCCCATGCTTGCGGGTCTCTAGCTAGTAGCTATATAGCTAGAGGCTTGACGTGGCCACCAAGCATTGTGCAGTGAATGTTGTTTTTTCAAGGGATTATGCTTATCGTGCCACATTAATGGTAATTCTTATCGTGTCTTTGACTTTTACATGCTCACAACCTTTAAAAACGTGATCCTCGTTGATTTCCCAATTAACTGAAGCTAGTTAATCAGTATGACTTTGAGGATGAAAAGGACAGCAGCCACACTGAAGCTTTTCAAATATCTGGGGGCCACATGTGACTTAACCCACTCAGCTTATGTTCACCAGTTTCAATTATTTAGGGAAACTCTACACATATGTTTAATTTGTCATTCTTTAAGCAGAGAAATTAAAGTCCAGAGTTCAAATTATTCCTCTTATCCTAGTTATAAGTTAAGAAAACTTTAAATTTCACTAATTCTTATTTTACATTTAATAACATTTCAACTTTATCTCTATTTAATATATATTATATCTCATGTAAACAAAATCAATACAATAATAAACAAAGAATAAAATTGTATATCTATGCAAAAAAAAAAATCTCAGTATCCTATAAATAAAGCAAAAAAAAAATCTTTTTTTTTTTGCTCTATAAATAAACGAGTATATAGAGCCAAAACTTCCCCATCTGCTAGTTCCAGGTCCACACATATTGTGTACGTGAGCTGGCATTTTGAAAATGGATAAGCATATGTAAACGCATCCAGCAGCACAACGCCCATAATTAATTAGCTTTTGTTAATGATTGTTCAAACTTTTTTAGCATGTTTTAGCCAAAAAAAATTTTTTGGCGCGGAATCCTTTGAGAGAATACGAATATTCTTCATACACACAGAATAGAGGCCACACAAAAAAGCCAAAAGAAAATCATATTCAGATAATATAGCACTATGCTATAGTAGTACTACCCCCCCTTTTTTTCGTGAGAACATTACTGTAGTGCCTTGTCATAACACTTCCTCACAACTATATGATTCTGTAGGATTCAATTGGAAAAATAACTCAGAGGTAAAAAAAAAAAAAAAAGGAAAAATATCTTAAGCAGCATCTCCAAGACCGTGTTATGTTTTAATCACCTCAGCAGAGTTTGATTTCATGTATTATATATATGTGTGTGTGTGTGGATATATTGAGGATGGTATGGCAATTAGCAACCCAATAGTCCATTATGATTCTAAATATAGGAATTAGTCTATAAGTTTATTTTCATCTCAAATATAAAAAATGTTGATTTTTTTTGCCTTTCATATTTGTTATTTTTCCTCAGAATATTAATTGCACAAAGTAACGCGTAAAATATTATAAGAGTATTGTTTAACACAAATCATAAAAATTAGATATTTTTTTTTCTAAATAACTAACAAATTATTTTTTTAATTTTTGTAGATTATTTATTTATTTATTAAACTCAGAGAGAGAGAAAGAGAGTTGGAGTGACAAGAGCAACAACCAAAATAAAAAATGAAATGAAGATATGGCTTTTGGAAAGTTGATATCAATGGACCTGAAGGATTATATATACGTATGACTATGATAACATCCCAAACATAAAAGTGAGAGAGAGGTAGGCAATGAGCAAATTGTGAGTGAGAGAAATGGGGAGCCGGGGAAAGGAGATGAACAAGAACATGAGTACTGTTAACGACGATGCGTGCCCAAAATTTGAACAGAAAATGAAACAACCTCAAGAAGCTGCTTTACGCAGAGACTGGCGTGCCTTCAAAAACTTTTTCCAGGATGATCCCATTGCTCTCATGCAGACTTTCGATCTGTCCGACAACACCGCCATTCACGTTGCGGCTCAATCCAACGATCCTCACCTCATCCGGAAACTGCTTGATATGCTTCCACAAGACTCTGATTGCCGGGGAGCACTGAGGACTGGCAATGTTCACAAGAACACTCTTCTTCACCAGGTGATACACTGTAAGAACTTGGAGATGGTGGACACTGTACTCAACTATGAGGAGCAGAGGAGGCTGAAGCTGCCGGGGGATGAGGATTTGTTGGAGCTCCCCAACGATCTCGGCGAAACGCCGCTCTACAGGGCTGCCAAGTACGGCAAGCTCAACATGCTCAAGCACATGGCCCGATTTGTAGATATCAGACGCCATTTTTACCGGCGGCCAAGACATGAAGACACTGTCCCTGACCGCACTTCCATTCTTCATATTGCTATCATTGGCCAGTATTTTGGTATATATCTACTCTTTCTATCCTTATTCTTTCGTTTTTAAGGCATATAAAAGAAGATCAACAAGTCCTACCACGAACCAAGAGTACTCTTATATAAGTTACAAAAACATCTCTGTTGCTTCTTCAAGTGTAGTTTTCTTATCGTTTAATTCCTCAAACCCTACTGTTGAAATTTAACTTTGATGGTTCAGAGGTCGCTCTGTGGTTATCGAGAGTGAAAGGCATTGAGGAAGTGGCCGTTGCAAACGATAGAAATGGATTGACCTGTCTTCAACTGCTCGCTAGAATGCCCTCTGTCTTCAGGAGCTACGATTATTCCCAGATGGGATTTCTGGAGAGGCAGATTTACGCATGTAATTCTCTCCGACTCTGTTATCACATGCATTCTTCTAAATTTTTATTTTAATCCCTTTGTTTCTCATTTTTCTTCGTGTTTAATTGCTCTTACTCTTCAAGTTTCAACATTTCTTTGTTCTGATTGATCATATAATGGGTGACAGATCTTCCGAACAAAGGATACGATGGAAGCTGTTATGACGACGGCGACGGTAAGTTTCTTGGACGGAGTCAAGATTTAGAAAGCGGAAAAGAGAATGTAAAGAAACCCAAGTCATCAGGTACGTGGTACTTGCGAACAAAAACTGGTGGTTTCTGCAGTTTTAATATGCGTCCGTGTGTGTGTGTGTGTGTGTGTGTGTGTGTGTAGTGCTGATCATCAGATTGAATGCTGCTAAATTGCAGTTTTTTCAAGGATCAACTATGCTATTTGGGAATCACTGGCCGAAGGTGAGAATTATAACTAGTGCACAGATACATTATCAAGCTACATAAACTTACATATGTTTGAATATATATATATATATATGTGTGTGTGTGCGCAGAATGGGACATTATAGATGACATTCGGAATAGAAAGAAGCAGCACATGTTAGTGGAGAAGCTTGCAGACTTCTTAGTGGGAATAGACTACTCATGGATGAAAACTAATCACGCAAAACCACGAAAAGAAGTTGTGTTGCCTGTGATTCAACCCTCCAATGTGGCTGCAACAAAGAAGAAAGCCAAACTAGAGAAGATCAGCTCCCTTGAACAACCCATTCCTTCTAACGTGTATACCCCGTTGCTTCTGGCAGCAAGCACCGGAATAGTTGAAATTGCGAAGAGAATCATCGACCTTCATCCAGATTCCATTTCCCACATCAGTCACGATGAGCAGAACATACTGCACGTCGCTGTCAAGCATCGTCGCAAGAACATCTATAAGCTTCTCAAGAAATATGGAGCCTTGAACCGCTTGGGTTCTCAAATGAGTAACAAAGGTCGTACCCTCCTGCACCACGTTGCCAGGATGGACTATTACGATGGAGGAACCCAATCTGGTGTTGTGTTCCAGCTTCAGGATGAACTACGTTGGTTCGAAGTAACTAAGAATTAATTGTCCTTTGTTACATTATATTTTGCGTTCATTCAGAAAACTACTAACTATTATTGCGAATGTATATGCAGCGAGTGAAGAAGAAAGTTCCTCGTCCTTTCTCCTTGTATTGCAATGACGACAACCTAACGGCAAGAGAGCTTTTTGAGTTGGAACATTTAGAGATGCACAAGGAAGCCCAAGGGTGGATCAAGGAGACAGCTCAGTCATGCTCCGCGGTGGCCGTCCTCGTTGCCACGGTGGTTTTTGCGGCAGCCTTTACTGTCCCTGGCGGCACCGACGAGAAGGGCGTCCCCGTCCTCCTCAACTCTCCCCTCTTCCTTTTCTTCACCATCATGGACGTTGTGGGCCTCGCGAGTTCATTAGTGTCGGTGATGTTGTTCCTGTCGATTCTCACGTCCCCCTTTCAGATGCAGGAGTTCTATAAGTCCCTCCCGAGAAAACTTACAATGGGCTTCACGTTGTTGTTCATCTCCTTGATGACGACGATGCTGGCGTTTGGATCGACCATTTTGCTGACCATTAGGATGGAGGACAAGAAATGGAGTTCGAGTTTGATTTACAGCGTCACGTTCTTCCCTGTGACCCTCTTTGCATTGACTCAATTTCCCGTTATCATGGCCGTTAAGTATAGAACGAGGAGGTTATGGAAGTCTCTGAAGAAGATGGTTCCAAAAGGTTTAACCAAATCCACCACCAAACCTACTAAGAGAAGAATGTACTCAAAACACGCGTGAGCAAGAGATTTTTAGAACTTGAAGTAGTTATGTCTTTTCTTTTATGTAATCCTGGTGTGCTTAAACTTGATTGTTGCTTTAATTTAGATTGGTGATGAACTGTAATTCTATGCAGTTTGTTGTCCGAATCAAGTCTAATATAACCGGGGTGATGTTATCATTTGTAAATTGTAGGTTGTTTTCAAGGCTACGTTATGTATGTTTCCCGTATAAAGTGGGTTTTTGTGTGATATAATATGCAGAAGCCAACTTCAGATAATTACTTTTGGTTTGATGTACTCTGTTGGAAACTTTGGGAAGCTCGAAATAAGGGACTATTTAATTTGGTAGTGTCTCCTTCACAGAACAACGAAGATGAGAGCCAGGAAGACAAATTAAACCATCTCGCGTTTTCATTAACAAATCAAGAAACTCCCACTATGGCTTGGTCGCTCGTTTAACGTGGCTTTCTACTTCCCCCAGTCAACAAAGACAGGCCTGTTCACGTTCTACGGATGAACATATGGGTATTAAAATATTTTGACATTTATTAGCTCTTTTCTCTTCCCCTGGTTTTAAGGTAATAGATCAAAAACTATCAAATTCTCGGATCAACTGACTGTACTGCATCAGCTTAACCAAAAGTCCTGGAGGTATTGTGTCTCTCCTTCCCACTTCTCTTTCTTTGAATAATTTACCATTATTCTCTTTCATGCTCTCTCCTTATTAATGAGGGTCTTTTTGGAAAAAAAATTATACTTTTTACATATTGATTGTTCTTAACTAATTTTAACTGTTTTTTTTATCAGCATAATTTAGTTATTCGTCTCTTATAATAAAGAACAGAATGAGTAATTTGGTTAAATATATATTATTGAAGGTGTTAAAAATGACTAATGTTGGCATTAATTGAGAATTAACTACCAACGTTAATTTTTCAATGATTTATGTCCTGGCCCAAAAAAAATTATGGATATCTATAATTCCTTCAAAAATACTTTCAGATAAGAATGGCCTTTGACCAAATTTTTTCACATATAAAATATCAATACGTTGCAAATTTTATACAAATATAGTACCGGCACTTTAGTTTAGATCCTTCTCATAATGAAATTTTCAGTTTTCCTTAGATTTTATGTAATTTTTATGAAATTAAAATATAAAGGTATATATTCTTTATTTAAATTAAACGAAACAAAATTAAACACGGGACAGGGTGTGATAATGGATCTCTGACAACCGTTAGTTCCTGTCCACAGGACTCGTGAAGCTGAAATCGCCGACAAATTGAGTTTGGGCTCTTTCAAAAGCTGCTTTGAAAAAGCCTTTTCAAAGTATGCACTCTACTTATGATTTTTATTTTTAATCTTTTTCAATATTTTTTCTAATTCTATTTATAAGTTTTAAATTTGAGAATGGACGTTGTGCATTCTATAAACCCCTTCAATTCAGTATTTTTCTCAACATTTAATTTTTTTTTAAATTTTACTCCCAATTATTTATTCTCTCTTATTTATCATAATTTTTCTTATCATATTTCATCAAATATTCTTTTTTCAATTTTTTCTCATTTATTATAAGGACATATTTAAAAAAAATATATATTTCTAATATATTTATTTTTTAAATTTATTTTAACAAATATTTATTTAAAATTTATAACAAAAATCGTAATAAGTATTACCTCCGGTCCTTAATATAAGACCCCGTTTGACTTTTAGTTTGGTCCTAATTATAAGACCCCAATCCATTTTGTCTCTCATATTTATGCATTTTTTCCCAAGATAATCCTTCTAATAATGATAGTTCTTACCAACACACTTAATTAGCAAGGATATTTTAGGAATGGTAACACTTATTTGTTACAAATAACTAACTTAACTTACTTCCTTAATCTCCTCAAATTAGTCAAATGGGTCTTATAATTAGGATCGGAGGTAGTATTTAGTATGTAAAGATCAAATAATCCCTAGATGGCGAGAACGTGAAGCTCAGTCCATATTAGAAGCTCGAAGCTCCCATGCTTGCGGGTCTCTAGCCAGTAGCTACTATCTCTGGTTCTAAATATAAAAACTAGTTGATTAATTTGAAGAGATTAAGAAAATAAGTTAAGTTAGTTATTTATTAATAAATAGATGTTGTCTTTCCTAAAATATTCTTACTAATCAAGTTTATTGACTAGAACTACCATTATTAGAATGATTACCTTAGAAAAAAATACATAAATACGAGAGACAAAATAGATTGGGATCTTATATTTTGGATTAAAATAAAAATTAAACAAAATCTTATATTAAAGACCGGAAGAAGTATATAGGTAGAGGCTCCACGTGGCCACCAAGCATTATGCAGTGAATGTTGTTTTTCAAGGGAAGGGTGGTTTTTTGGCCAAAAAAATAAGAGTGAAGGCTGGTTGTTTTGGAGGGGGGAAAAAAAAAGGGGGACGGCTGGTTGTTTTGGCCAAAAAATAAAAAGGGGACGGCTGGTTGTTTTGGCCAGAAAACAGAGAAGGGAAGGCTGGTAGACACGGTCGACCGGCATCTGGTGTCACACTAATAACAATTCTTTGGCTTTCATAGTTTCATATGCTCAGCCTTATTGATTTCGTCGGTCGGTGAGAAAACATGCAACGACGAGAGGACTCCAGTGAATAAAGCAAGTCACCGTTTACTAGGCTCAGCGAAAATGGATGTACGTGAGCTGGCATTTTGAAAATGGATGCGCATGTGTAAACGCATCCATAATTAATTTGCTCTTTCATATTTGTTAATTTTTTTTCAAAATATCTGCATTAATTGCACACAGTCATGCATAAAATATTATAAGGGCATTGTTTAATATAAATCATTAAAATGAGGGATTTTTTTTTATAAATAACTAACAAATTATTTTTTAAATTTTTGTAAATTATTTATTTATTAAACTCAGAGAGAGAGAGATAATGGGAGTGACAAGAGTAACAACCAAAATAAAAAATGAAATGAAGATATGGCTTTGGGAAAGTCGACACCAATGGACCCAAAGGATTATGAGTGTGTTTGGGATCACAGTGAAGGCCCTCAAACTGATTTCTCCACTGGTAAAAACTGAAAAAAGTGACTTCTTGTTTAAAAGAAATGTTTGGATCCACCGTGAAGCTAAATGGACTTATGCGGAAATGGACTTTTTTTTCATAAGCTGCTGCCTTCAGCTTCTCCGCTTTCAGCTTTTCCGTCTTCGTGCAGCTTCTCCACTACACCCTTCGTGGGGCCCATGAGTGAGGGAATGGAGAGAATACATTATGTGAGTTCTTTTTTTTTTTCAATCCAGCTAATTAGTTTTTAATATTAAAAAATTATTTTTTGAATAATAAAATCATTTTTTAAAAATAAATTATTTATTCTTTAAAAAATAAATATTTTTATTTTTATAATTTTAATTTTAATTTTTCTCTAACAATTATCAAATTATAAATATATTAAATAAATATATATTGTTTAATAAAGTTTATATCCTTTTCAGTTATTTTATATTCAAACTTACTTTTACATTTATCATCCAAACAAGTTTCAACTTCTCAAACTGACTTTTTTCTAAAACTCAATCCAAATATAAATCACATTACCATATCTGACTTTTACTCAATCTGACTTCTATAAAAGTCAGATTGAAAAAAAGCTACTTCTGTCACCGCTATCCCAAACACACCCTATATATGTGTGTGTATGACTATGATAACATCCCAAACAAGAAAGTGATAGAGAGGTGGGTAATGAGCAAATTGTGAGTAAGAGAAATGGGGAGCCAGGGAAAGGAGATGAACAAGAACGTGAGCACAATCCCAAAAATTGAGCCGAAAATGAAACAACCTCATGAAGCTGTTTTACGCGGAGACTGGCATTCCTTCATAGACTTTTTCCGCGATGATCCCATAGCTCTCACGCAGACTTTCGATCCGTCCGGGAACACCGCCATTCACGTTGCCGCTCAATCCAACGATCCTAACCTCATCTGCCAACTGCTCGATATGCTTCCACATGACTCTGATCGCCGGGGAGCACTGAGGACTGGCAATGTTCACGAGAACACTCTTCTTCACCAGGTGATACACTGTAAGAACTTGGAGATGGTGGACACTGTACTCAACTATGAGGAGCAGAGGAGGCTGAGGCTGCCGGTGGAGGAGAATTTGTTGGAGCTCCCCAACGATCTCGGCGAAACGCCGCTCTACAGGGCTGCCAAGTACGGCAAGCTCAACATGCTCAAGCACATGGCCCGATTTATTGTAGATATCAGACGCCATTTTTACCGGCGGCAAACAAGTGAAGAGGACACTGTCCCGCACCCCACTTCCATTCTTCATACTGCTATCATTGGCCAGCATTTTGGTATATCTCTACTCTTTCTATCCTTATTCTTTCATTTTTTAACAAATATAAAAGAAGATCAACAAGTCCTACCACGAACCAAGCGTACTCTTATATGAGTTATACAAAAACATTTCTGTTGCTTCTTCAAGTTCAGTTTTCTTATCCTTTAATTCCTCATCCCCTGTTGTTGAAATTTAACTTGACGGTTCAGAGGTCGCTCTGTGGTTATCGAGAGTGAAAGGCATTGAGGAAGTGGCCGTTGCAAAAACTGAAAAGGGATTGACCTGTCTTCAACTGCTCGCTGGAATGCCCTCTGTCTTCAGGAGCTATGATTATTCCCAGATGGGATTTCTGGAGAGGCATATTTACGCATGTAATTCTCTCCGACTCTGTTATTACATGCATTCTTCTAAATTTTTATTTTAATCCCCCTGTTTCTCATTTTTCTTCGCGTTTAATTGCTCTTACTCTTCAAGTTTCAACATTTCTTTCTTCTGATTGATCATATAATGGGTGACAGATCTTCCGAACGAAGGATACGATGGAAGCTGTTATGACGACGGCGACGATAAGTTTCTTAGACGGAGTCAAGATTTAGAAAGCGGAAAAGAGAATGTAAAGAAATCCAAGTCATCAGGTACGTAGTACTTGCGAACAAAAACTGGTGGTTTC